TGTGGTTGCGTGTTTGTGGTTGTGTGTTTGTGGTTGTGTGTTTGTGGTTGTGTTTGTGGTTGTGTTTGTGGTTGTGTGCTTGTGGTTGTGTTTGTGGTTGTGTGCTTGTGGTTGTGTGTTTGTGGTTGTGGTTTGTGGTTGTGGTTTGTGGTTGTGTGGTTGTGGTTGTGTTTGTGGTTGTGCGTGTTTGGTTGTGTGTTTGTTGTTCTGTTTGTAGTTGTGTGTTGAGGTCCGGCAGGGAACACTGGGCGTGGATGGTCGTGGTTGAGGTTCGGCAGGGAACACTGGGCGTGGATGGTCGTGGTTGAGGTCCGGCGGAGGAGGACGAGGAGGAGAAGAAGGAGGCGGAGGAGGAGGAGGAGATGGGGCTAACATACAATCTAACAACCCTCACCTGACAGGTGGGGAATGATGGAATTGGCTAATTCTCGGAAATGGGATGCTTTTCAACTTCAACCAGGAGTTTTCCCACCATGTTCGACTGGAACGTCATCTATTTTATACACACCTCGATGGTCGGATGGTCGGTTCTCACATCCATGCTCCGAGGGTCACAAGCTGGTCACGGTCAGCTGGTCTCTATCTTATTTCACCGACGAATGTGGCAACATCAAAGCACCATTAAAGCTGGTCTCTCTCCTTCTGCTCCCACTCAAAACCTTGAAGAACGCACACCCTCAAGGGTGCGAAAATTGACGAGCGCAGCGAAAACAGGCCGCGTGGCATAGCTCACGGAGGAGAAGAAGTAGAGCATTTGCAAAGGATATTCTTCCCCAGTGCCCAGCGAGGATCCTCACTCCGCGCGCAGACGAAATCGATCGTTCTCACCCCGTGCCGGAGTATCAACGAAGTGGCCTGGACGGCGAGCAGTCCCGGCTGCGCGGTCTTGGCCCCCATCGGGGATCCATGAACCATTGGTGGAACGGCTTCAGGTCCGGACTGGTCAGCCTGGAGGCCTAGGGCCTGGCCCTAAGCATCATTGGACCCTCCGAACTGGAGGGTTTTGACCCTGCAGAGCGCAGGGGTTTGGACCCTCAAATCCTTCACCTTTGAGGGTCCTTGATTCTTAGGGAGGCAATAATTTTGCAGTTCAAGATTCGAAGGGGTGCACCACGGTGCACCTGTTAAACAGGAGCCCTGAGGTGGATTCGAACAAGAATCCTGGTGGACGAGGGGAGATGTCCAGTCCACCCTCTCAAGACCTGCCCTCAAGACCTGCTCTTGTGGGAACTTCTGACGACCTCCCTGGTCAAGAAACATGCCCCCCAAACTGGAAAGACTCGAAAGCCGCCGTCCTTTTCAGACGAAGTGGACAACCCCCTCTTAGTCTATAGGAACATCGTCTTCCTTTCCGAAGACCAGGCCCCACTTCGGATTCTTGGGGTCTCAACCCGAGACCATCCAAGCGGCTCACCAAGCTCCGGTTCTCGAAGCGGGTGGCATTGGGTAAACCTCGCCGCGGCACCGCGCCGCAGAATACGGAGCGCGACCCGGTCGACGTTCGACCCGGTGCTCGGCGACCACCGGATCGTGCGACGATCGACTGCGGAACGAGCAAGTCGTTGTGGGTGGCACCAGCACCGGCACCAGCTTTTGGAGCGGCCCCCAGGCAAGGAGGGTGGCCACCCGAAGCAAAGCACGGCGGAGAAAGGGGAAAGGACCCTGGTGAAGGAAGATTCGAACAATTGCACCCCCTACAGCTGCATTGGCAGTCCGGGTAGAGTTTGCAACTAGCGTTGGTTTTCCATCAATCATCAAACGCTACTGTGTGTGACCTGCAGGATGCTTGGCTCCATGGATTCACATTTGTAGGCTTCATGATGAACCTATAGCATAGTCCCCGAGCCAAATCAAATGGTCTTTGAGGTGTTTCAGTACTGTATATACCCCTCAGTCATGGTCTGAACATGACAGAAAGTCCCACTCAAAAGCGGACTCGAGTGAAACGGTGGCATGGACCCAGAAAAGCACCAGTTCAACTGAACTTCCTATCTTGGGTCCAAAACAACATGACACCTCCGGCATGTTCGGTTTCAGAGTCAGAACTTTTATGGAAAGACTCAGGCAAGCTTGTTGGAACTGATATGAGTGGGGAGGTAGCATGTATATGTCAGCCAGGCTATGATCGCTTGTGGTATCCTGGAACGCATCAGAAACTGGCACCCCAGACCCCAGGGCAGGTGGGGTTCTCTGCGGTTTTCGAGGTTTTTCTTTTGATATCTTTTGACTAGCTAGGATAGACTGTTGGTAGTGTGAAACATCACAGACAGCACGCAAGCGCAACAAAAAGTAAGAAGAGGCAACTTACAACAAGTTCGGCATGCCCAAATACAGAGATAGACATGACGTGATGTCAAAAACATGTTGGAAACCGACCGAACTGAATTCCCTTTGGCAGGGTCGGAAGATCGTCCCAACCCAACCAGAGCCCAACCAAAAGTAAAACAAAATACATTGGCAAGTACGCAGTACACTCGTTGGACGTGGAGTGGTTTTCCCACCGGTCGAGGAAGCAGGCTCTTCCAGCGGTCGATGTTCCGCTTCAAAGGATGGGTCTTGTCTTTTTAGTTGGGGTGATGCATCTCAGAAGGGAGAATGCAAATCCCATACCCCAATACCCCAACGACTTGCTGGAACCATCTGGAACCCCTCTTTTCAAGCGCAACGGGTTTTGTCCTCACCTTCTTTTTACTGAGCGGGTTTGTAGCAAACTGCCGTTTCCAGAAGTAGGGGTGGTCACTGTGATGTTCTCCACCTTCACATTGCGAACGCATCGTGGGAATTCGCAGCTCAATTCAGCTCTTCGCGGCGTTCCACGTCCGGAGCACATCGCTTCGGGACACGTCATCGCACTCCCGGCCCTAACATCAGCCAGGTGCAATATCGTTGGACTTCCTGGCCCTGACAGCTCAGCTGCAGAAGTGACAGTGCTGTGAAGGACAGCGTGCTTGTCCTCGGCGAAGGGCGGTTAAGCGGAAGACGGGCGTAAAACACGGAAGCGCGTTCAGTGAATGGCGGGCCACACCCAGCGGGTGAATTTTCATGCTTTAAGTGATAGCAATAGGTCTTCCTTGAAAAAACTGAATTGTGTAAAGTCAAATCCAGAAGTCGATGACAGAGCATGACGGAGCATGTTGCATGTGCATTTAAAGACAGTCTTGGAGTGCAAAGAGGATAGGAGTAGCAACTGATCATTGCAACGCAAACACCACTTCACCAGCATCAGTGCCAACCATATGTCCCACACAGGTTTGGAGTTTCACACTGATTGAATACATATCTGTCACAAGTGTCAGAAAACTCTTTTCCAAGCTACACTTCGAGAAAGAATCATGGAACTGGAGTTCACCACCTGCTTGGTATTCGGAATGTATTCGGACGGTCACATGGTCATCCATTCAGGGCCATGCCATCCCTGTGACCATGATGATTTTCAGGGAAATGTATAATATCTAAATCCATGTCCTATCCCAACTCCAACTCTTTTGTACGTTTTGTATCGACCCAAAAAATGGCTGAGTCGGCTTACTTTCCACCACCACGCGCTTAACGACGGCGGCGCCCGCATCTCCGATCTCGGGTAAACACAAGTCAACACGTACATCCCTGCGCACCCGAGTTGAAAGCAAAGCTTCAATCTCATGTTAAAACAATTGCACCTATGCCTTAAGCATAGTACAGCTGCGGAACGAGAAACACCATGAAACACCTTAGACTTTCTCTCCTGAAAGTGGCCCATGCGGCCCAGCTAGTTCTTGGTGGAGACTCAGGGATCACTGAATCAGGAGGATCCTTGAATTGTCCTGTGCTCATTCAACTTAAAGTGAGCTTTGTTTTCCGAAAAACCGTAAAATCCTCGCTCCGCCCAGCTCTCGGACTAGACTTCGCAAACGTTCAGACCTGCGGACCCCCATCGACCCGGCGACGGCGTCTCGAGGAGCCTAGAAGCACATGTCGTAAAAATGAGGTGGTCTTTATAAATACAGGTGTAGAGTGTAGATCTACACATATTATACAGTAAAAATAGTCTAAATTTGACTCTAAAATAAGCGGCGGCATGTTTCCTTGCGTACTAAACTCAAATACACAATATATCTATCATGATCATGTGGGGGCCCTATCTTGTTTAGACTACTTAAGTGGGAGGTAATTTCACCTCGTTCAGACTGCGGCTTTACTGTCATCAAAAAAAAGTGTATTTAGTATCTTATCTTGTTCATGTGTGGGCCCTATCTCGTTCACCAGCGAATACTGATGTTGGAGAAACAAATAGAGCGTGCCGTAGATTACTTCAGCAAAGAATGAATGAAAGTATACCATAGTCAGAAGTTGTTTGCTTCCAAACTGGGGTCAGTATAGGCTGTCCCGTATCCTTAGAGATTCGCATCCAACATAACAACTTAGGATGACTTTGGATGGGGAACACCTCTGTTCAGAGGCTGAGAGTGGACTAGACCCCAGAAAGTAAACTCGGTTTAGTAAGCGCTTGGAGTAAACCAGACTTCTTCGCCAGACTGGACTCTCCTTCATCCCGCATCCCTGCAAACCTGACCAACTGCAAACACCGACCCTCACGAGATACACTCACGAGATAGACCCGGTGCACCCGGTCCTGGTTGCCCAATAAGAAACCGTATATTATGCTGCAGTGCCAGCCTGTTCGCGCGGTCTTTCTGTTCGCTCGACTTTTCCTCTCAAGCAGCGGAAAATGTGTCCTGCAAGCGGATGGACTCCTTGCAAGCTCCAGCCATCACATCAACCCCACATCATAAATATGGTGCCAATCAGCAGCTATTCCAAATCCATGAAGAGTCTGGATAATATTGGTCTCTGGGTTTTCCGGTGTGGAGTTGTTTCCTGGTTTCTGGGGATCCCGTCACACCACATCAGGGAACGACCGTCGTGTCTTGTTCGCGACAAAAATTGCCGGTGTGTTTTGTTGAAACTCATCACTGAAGAAATGGGCGTCCCCAATGATTTGGATCTATTTGCTTAGAGACATCGCCAAACTGGGTCGAAAGGCCAAGGCCCAGACACCAGACTCGCCCTGTTTCCGAACGACCGGAACCGCGTTTTGTTTCAGCGAAGACGATTCTACCGAGGACGCGGCCGCTTTCCTCTCGACGATTTTGTGGATCAAAATGGATCGGGAAGAGGTCTGACTATCGCCAGGGAAGACCATTCTAAGTCCAGTCATGACGCATGCTACCCTGTTAGAAGTGTTGGAGGTGGGGTAGAATGAATCATTGAAAGTTCTGAACATGAATCCATGAGATTCATTAGACCCTTACATCTCTCAAGCAACGACCAGGTCCAGTCGACCACCGGTATTCTTCAAGAGGGCGGCAAGGCAAGAAGATGTGATATCACTGAAACCAGTTCGACAGATTGTGTCCCACACCAAGGTGACCGCATCAAATAGCCAATTATGCCCATTGAATCTGAAAGGTGAACCGAAATCGCTCCGATTCGCCTTGAACCAAAACGCATCAAACCTCGTTTGAAGCGAAGCATCTGCCCGCGGTCCTCATCCGGCGGAGCGTCGTGCGCGCTTCGCCCTCGGCGCGGTGCAGCCGCGCTGGCGTGGGCGCCGCGGCGAGCAGTGCCAGGAGCGGTCTCGGTCGGCCCGAGCGGGAGGCGAGTCCACCACGAACCGTGTCAAGGTTGCGTTGTTCCACTCGCGGATGTCATGTGCAAATAGGTGAATCAAAGCGTATGTGAGTCGGTGGAGATGCCGGACATATACTCCCGCTTTTTACCACTGGACTCACTTCCTGGACATTTAAAAGGAAATGGTGTCTATAAACTATAGGATGGTGGCAGCAAATAAACGCTCTATAAAGTGACTGGCAGGATAATTTTTATAGAATGCAAGACCAAATGGAACTAGTTTTGGTTGCTTTACATGCTTTGGGGATGTACAAGTGCAGTCTCTATAGCATGATCAAGCTAGATTTCAATACAAAGAACGAGACCAAATGCTGGGAGAACAATATTATTGTACGGTAGACGTTTTTTTGTCTCTAGTCAAAGGCCCCCTCTTGTCCCTTTTCTCTGTTGTATTGCCAAAACGGGGGAGTGATAACGACAGTGCATTTTGGAACCATTTCACCATGTCGGGTCCAGGCTGTGAAATGCTGTGAAGCCTGACAAGGTGCATGTACAGCTTGCTGAATCACACACCCGCTCGGAAAAGATCATACAGACACAGGACAGCAAATTAAAACAAAAGACGGTGACAAAAACAATTATCAGTATGAAAGGTCACTTTAAAGATATATGTGTTATAGATAGTTTTTGTTGGGTGGTTTTCTCCTCCTCTCACTTTCTAATGGTGCAATTTCCACCGTTAGGGTGGAATGATTAGTGGTGACCTTCCACAATATTTCCAACCCACCGCCCCTTCCTAAATGTAAGTTGCACTCTTCCAAGCGCGAACGCTGCGATGCCAACACCTTATATTTGCTATAGAATGCTTCCAGACCCACATGATCCCACAGCACTGAGCCTATAATATGCAAAACCAGATCTCCAGCGCCATATGAACAAGTGCATGTCACGGCACCCCGCCCAGAATTGTCATTTTGGGGCATCTTCTGTGTGAATAGATGGGCTGCCTATATGCAGACCATGAGGCCCTCAACAGCTATCACACAAGGGGGGCCCAGGGCCGTCTATGAACACTTGTCGAAAAGCACCCACTGCTCCCGCTGAGCTATTCTTTTTCACACTTTGCGCCCAGAGTGAAGATCTTGTTGCCCGGCGGAAGGGCCACTGAGGAGCCTGCTGCAGGCGGTGGTTGTCGGCCATATAACGCCACCAGCTTTGGCAGAACAAAGTACTAATTTTGTTCACGTGACACTAAAATCGTTCATGTGCAGGACCAGGAACCTGTTGGGCCTTCCAAGCGGCGGTCTGCTGTAAATCAGTTTCAACCAAAAGCTATTCACAAAGCTTTGGTGGTCGGTGAACACGCACTCCAACTCCGTAGTTCTTTGGACACGTATCAGCTCGAGTGCAAGTGTTTGGGGTGAGCGTCCAGCGTTGCCTGCAATCTGTAACCACCGGCGAGTTTGTGAGTGACAACATAAAAGCGGCAAAAAGCAAAAACCTCACTATTCCTTAGCCCTCACCAACCGGTCCACACCCCCAGTCCACTGAACCGGTCAAGCCACATGTTTCAACCCGCCTGAGTCGCCGGCCTGGTTTTCCTGATCCTGCGGTGCATCGCTTTGATGGAGGATCGGCTCTGGAAACCAGTTGGTGGCTTTGGTTGTTGCGCCGCCCAGCCATAAACAACAGAAGGCTCACAATACTGTAGAAGAAAACAAATCACGACGGGCTTTGCCTTGCCTAGCCTAGTCCCGTCTGCGAAAAACCCAGCAAATGGGAATAGGTCAGTGGTGGGTTTATCAAGTCAGCACTTTTTGGACCAGAGGCCCCCTTCTAGAACTTTCCAAAACTGCACAGGGTTCCTCACCCCCCGCCCAGCTAACAGCCTCCTGCAAGAGACGCCTTTAGTCTTTAGTGCAGTAACATCAGCAGAATCCGCGGAACACTTGCCTTTGATATTGGAGCTGTCAATGAAGTTGAAGCAGATCAACGCAAGATCCAAAACACAGCCCGCCGCTCCAGAAAAAGACACAGCCCTGCTATCTTTGTGAAGTTGCTGGGCCAGCCATGCCCACAAAAAAGGCGAATGTACTTGAGCCACCGTTTTAACCCAACATGAGACTTTCCAACCCCGGTCAGACAGACTGACAGGCTGCTGGACTTACAGACGGACGTGCAGCGTGAAGAAGAATGTGCAGGCGCGCAACAACTGCGCGCTCGCCTCATACGCGCTGTTTACATGCTCACGTCAAGCGCGCGGATTCATGCATCCAATGTAACCTAGGGCTCGTCATGCAGGGTCTCTATATAAGGAATATACCGTCTCCCACACGCCCAAAACAAGCATGCACCAGCTTGTGCGTATAAGCCGCTTGATAATCTGTGTGCAGCGAAAACGTGGGAGACGCATGCCCGTGCACAAATTTAAAGGGGACGAGACCCGGGTGATATGTTTGCCAATGGTGGCATCTGGTCGAAATATTGTGGGGCTTCAGCGCGTTAATGAAGCGCATTAAACGCACGCCCATTGACCAGACGTATGCGCGCGTAAAATGTACGCTCGTATGCGCGTGTGCTGGACCCAACATAAAACGACCACCTTGCCCTTCACTTCACCGACCAGAATGTTCCACTTGCCTGAGCTCTCCGACGAAGGCGCCCCCCGTGGGACGTCCGACCGCCGAGCGGGAACGGCTGGCGGTCCAAGCGCTATACTCACCGCAGATGACATAGGAGTTATGCGGCAAGTGAGATGGGCAGCGCCCCACGACAAGTCCTAACTCATGCTTCATCAGTTGGAACGCAAAGCCTCTGAGTTAAGGGGTGTGGAACCTCCAGACACAAAAACAAAGTCTGTGGCCACGTCACTAGGGTAAGGATTAAGGATAGTTGGTGGTTGATCACTATTCTTTCATCCTGGAGTGGCCATTCTTTGCGGAAAAATATCTGTCGCGGCCTCATCGCGAAGCATGGTCCTACAACCATGTCTAGCTAACATGAGCCGAATGAAATCAAAAGTATACGAGTATCACAAAATAGAGACAAACATCTTGCAGCATGGCCCCAGCAG